ATTTTGCAAGATTTTGTAAGATCTAAAATCAATGAGAATGAGTTTTTGCTCACTGTAAAGTATGCTTCTAGAATGAGTCATATTTCAAGAATGAGTCATATTTCAAGAACTCACACAATTTTGTATGAATCTTTTTTATAAATTATTAAAACATACATTTCTTGTACATAACTCACTTTTGGTTTTTCAGAGCATGAGCATTATGCACTTGGAAGTTTAGCTAGTATAACATTGATTATTTAATAATCAACTGAATATAATATATTTCTAATTAAATTCTATTAGTTTATAAGTTAAATACTAAAATTATTCACGTAGTATTAAATGAATGATAGAATCAAATCGAATATGCGGATGAATAGTAACAACTTGTTTATTAATCATTTGGTTCACTTCTACTCCTAATGAATACCCCCCTCTCTTCAGGGCCTGTTTGTTTCGTTTCCCCCCAGAATCTAAAACTCACTTTCCTTCACTTTTTCACTTTCCCCACTTTCTTTAACCCACTATCCTTCACTTTCTCCCAATAATATTGTGACAACTTATCTCATCACATCTCATCTCTTACTTTTAAAAATAAACTATACACAAGAAATGAGTCACATCAATCAATTCATCTAACTCACCTCACCTAACTTTCCTTCATTTTCTCTCATCTTTAAAAATTACTCACATCATCCAATAATATGGTGATAACTCATCACATCTCATTAAAATTTCCTTCCATCCCTTTCCTCCAAAAAAACAAAGAAATTGATTTTCCTAAGTATGTGTCACATCATCCAATAATATAATGACAGATTATTTTCTCTTATTTATTTTCTTAGTTTTAAGAATGAACCAAACACAAGAAAGAACAAAAAATAAAGAAAGTTGAGGAAAACATCAAAAATTACTCATCTCATTCAATAATATGGTAACAACTCATTTTCTCCATCACTTTTTTTTTCAAATTTTGACGAACCAAATATTAAAAAGTAGAGAAAAACATCAAAATTCATTTCCCTCCCCACTTTCTGCAATTTTTTGCGAAACAAACAGGCCCTCATACGAGACAGGGGTGATTTTTGGCATAATCTTGATCTCCAGCCCTAAATCGGGTCTAGATACATTCCAAGTCGCAACAGATTGAAGAAGAAGAATCCCCACAAGATTTGGGTGAAATAGTACGGAAGCAATTGCTGAGGTAATTTTCTCCAAATTTCTTAGCTTTAAATTTAATTACTTGTTTATGTTGAAGTCATCTTATTTTTGCAATTTTAATGTTCTTTATAAGTAAGAGACGAGGGCTTTCATTGGCAGAATAATCGAGTACTCCATAGCAATTCCTATAGCAAATTTCAAAATATGGTTTGAAATGGGTTAGAGAAGGAGATTTAATTTGATTAATGGATGAGTTTCTTTGGTCATTTATAGCCTCAAAAAATGCAAAGAGTAATCTGAATGAATTGTAATGAGATCTTCGGAGACGATATCATTAGCGAAGATGAAGAGAGAATTAGATATGGATGAATTTTCAAAATCGACATATTTTGAATTTTATTACTAAAACAGACCCATTTCAAACTTAATTTCAAAAACAGACCCAGTTAGCTGAAACTGGGTCGATTTTTGAAAAAAAAGTTCCCAAACTTCACGAGAGTTGAAGTCTCGTGAAGTTTTTTATATATAAAAACTTCACGGGACTTCAACTCCCGTGAAGTTTGGGAATTTTTTTTCAAAAACCGACATAGTTTCTCTCCAACTAGATCGGTTTTTGAAATTAAGTTTGAAACAGGTCTTTTTTTGAGAATTTTTTGGCAAACAGGTTGGGTTTGAAAATTTGTCCAATTAGATATTGTTCGGTCCTTTATGAGTTGATGGGTTTGAGTTTAATAATTGAGGGTAGTGCTTGTTTGGATTAAGGGGAATGAGAGTGAAGGGAAGTTAGGGGAACCATTCACCTCCATTCACCTTGTTGGGAACATTTAGGAGGTAAAGTTATTCACCCTAATTCCCCTTGGTTCACCCCCTAATAGTATAAAATTTGTTACCCCCCAAATTGGGGTGTAACCAAGGGGAAGTGAACTCCCTTCCCTTCCCTTCCATTCTCTCACCTAGTTTTCCTTAACTTCCCTTCACCCCCTACAAATCCAAACAGGCCCTAACTGTCCATTTCATACCAAGGTTACACTTAGGGGGGTTATTCATTGGTGTAATTTGGTGTAAATTGGGGTAAATTGTTCCAATGGGGTAATTTTACGCAATGAGATAATTTAAGTGAGATAAAGTGGGGTAAAATGGGGGTAATGAGACAATTTGAGTGTGACAATTTGAGTGGGACAATTACCCCACTTTATAATATTATATTTATAGCTCAATTTAATTCAAGTTTAACTTGATATAACATCAAATGATTAAATAAATAATAGTTATAATATTATTTTTTAAGATTATTTTAATATAAAATATTAAAAATAAAAGAATTTTAATAATATCAATATTAATCAATCTTTAAATATTTTAAGGCTATTCATAAGGTATAAGATAATGTTGTATGGACTTTTAAGGCTATTCAGAAGGACTCCCTGTAACACAAACTATCCAATGCAAAATAGATATAATATAGAACATGTACATGTACAAAAACTCACCAAGATAATACACCTCACATAACTCATCAACTCACATAAAGCATAGAAAACATGAAAGAGAAATTTCGAAGATGATCAACAACTGCAGGATTCCGATAATGTAAAAGTTGCAAACGAACAAGTCTCATTCTCATTGGAATCCAAGAATATTTACTTTTACTCCTACCGTATCCACGCTGAATTCTAGACAAAAAGCAACTTAACAGGGACTAAAATGAGGTTCATGTCACTAAACCAAACTAGTAAGCTTGAGGGACATATACCTTGAGCATGATGGTCAATCTTATACACCCAAATATGAACTCATTACCTTGAGCACGAAGGTCAATCTTATACACCCAAGCCATATGAGATGATACATGTGCTTCCATCAATAATATACAAGTAAATATATATATATATAAGTAAATATAAGATTTGCAAATATGTTGGCAAACTCTTTCACCGTGATGCATGGATAGCATTCCCACACATAAAATAGATCATTCAAGTGCCAAATGTGATTGCAACATTAATTTTAACTGAATCATGCGGATTGAATCATTCAAATATGAACTCATTATAGCCACCCAGACTTAAAACCTGAACCTCGCCTGAAATGGGAAGTACGGATTCAGGCAAGGTTCAGCTTCATCAAAATCCATGCATGTTAGTGTACATATAACTTACAAGACCAGGAACTAGTATAATGAATTAAATTATAAAAGCATAAGATTTTTGGGCTTTCTAACATTTAACATTATGGATATATCCATGTAATTCTATATAATTTATTTAACCAAAGCATAATACAGTTGCACATTATGTGATCACGGACCTGAACTGCAATGAAAACATGTATTTCAATTTTGATCATTCATCATACCCATAAACTTGTTTAAAATCAAACTGCTACACAGCCCGCAATAACAGACCAAAATTAGGCTAGCAAAAATCACAACTCTAAAATTGACTATGAAAGTATTTTACATACATCTCAATTCGAGATGAATGACACTGGACATCACACAAATTTCTGACATATGGAAAATCATCAAGTGCTGCTCAACTTTATGACAACATGTCAAGTTTTACAAAGGAGTTGAGATATGCATTATCATTCCACTATAATGGCATGTTTACCTAACGCTGAACAAGTAATTATAGACTTGTATTTGCATTCTCTTTTACCAGTAAATTATTCTCTCCACAGCATAAAAACTTATGTATCTCTTCGTCAAAATTGGATCAAAATTTCATCAAAATTTCAGCAAAAAATAACTTTACCTTCCATCAGCTAATGACCTTGGGTATTCCGAGTTCTGGACCAGCATCTCATCGTCCACCTGCTGCAAAATAACAACGAAGCCATCAACCAAAGCTTAGATCCATCAAAGCCGCACCAAAGCATCCAAACCAAAACCCTAGGGATTGAACTCACCGCGGTGGTGCGGAGGAGGCAACAGATGAGGAGGCGGAGGAGATGGCGGCGGGCAAACGAGCTTGAATACGACTAGATGAACCCCTTTTATTTCAATTTTCGCTTCATTGAATAGTTCGATCGAATTGATTGATGGCAAGTGCTCTAGTGTCTGGTAACAAGAAATCAATATTATAAAAACCATAGATGAACCCCTTTTATTTCAAAATGAGAAAAAAACCAAAAAAGAGAAATTTGAGAAAAAAAATAATAAAGGTGAAGAAAAAGGAATAAAATTAATAAGTGAGAAGAACAAAAAGTTACCTCCTTGAAGTTCGCCGTCGTCGTCCTCATCGTCGGAGTCGTCTCTCACGACGACTAGGGTTTTGGGCGATCGCCTCCGCCGTCATCGTCTTCAAGCTCGTCGTCGTCATCTTCAAGCTCCGTCGCGTTCAAATCTCGGCCATCCGAAGACGAGATTGACGAGTGCGGCTTCGTCTTCAAGCTGGCTCGACCCCAAATTTTGAGAACGGTGGGGAACTGGGGTGGGAACGAAGTGGGGTAATTTTTTTCCAGCAAACGAAGTTGGGTAAATTTTCAGGATTGACTGAGCATTGGTTTTTATAGCTGGGATAATTTGGGAGAAAGTAGGGTTTTTGTCCCCCAATTACACCAACAAACTAATAACACCAAAAAGTTCACTCTAGTTCCAATTACCCCAACCAATAACATCAAAAACTGATGTTCCACAAATTACCCCATTATCCCCCAAATTACACCAACGAATAACCCCCCTAACATAATATTCCGTGACATTTATAACTCCGACTATCCTCAAAGACTACTATCAGCATATTTGAGCAATTTGAGGGGCTAATATCAAAATACACAGATTTAAGGGAGTAATATCAGAATACTAGTGATTTAAGGGACTGATATCGAAGAAACCCAAAATAGAAATAGGAAGCTCGATTTCTTTGACCTCAAAATCCCCAGATTCGTCGAGCGCGAGGTTTCACTGAAAACACCGACCTTTTCCTAGATTGCGATGCTTTCGTCTGATCCGATGTGATGTCCCAATTCTGGATCGTGCTCGGCCAATTCGATCCCATCCAGTCCCAATCCATGGTAAATCTAGGGATTTCTTCAGAAAGAGAAAAAAAAGAGAGAAGAAAAGTTCTTGATTTCTCTGCTTACTGACTCTTTGTTTCCCTCCTCAGTCGACATCGAAGAAGGTGATCGCGAGAGAAGAATGGGAGAGGAAGCTGAAGGAGGTGAAGATTCGAAAGGACGACGTGAACAAGCTCGTCATGAATTTTCTCGTCACTGAAGGCTACGCCGACGCCGCCGAGAAGTTTCGGATCGAATCGGGAACTGAACGTATCCTTTTCCCTTTTAGTTTTTTTAGAAGATCATTTCTTTAGGGTTTTGTATGGATTTTGGGGGGTTTTGCTTCCTTTTCCTTATTGGGGAACAGCAGATATAGATCTCGCAACGATAACGGATCGAATGGCGGTGAAAAAGGCACTTCAGTCTGGTAATGTGCAGGATGCAATTGAGAAAGTTAATGACTTGAATCCTGAGGTATGCTTCGATCCTGTTGATTATGATATCGATACGTGTTTTTTTTTTTGTTATTTTGGTGTGAGACTTTGAGGATAGATAACTACTCTAAGAGCAAGTGCAGCAAGCTCCCAGCATGCTCTCAAGAGCTCTTAAGCTTTTCAAAATAAAAAAATTAACAAATTATACCTTGGGAGGCACTCCTTCTTTTATAGAGCTCCAACAAGCTCCTAGTTAGGAGCTCCAACAATATCAAAAAAACCCCTTTTCTATTTTAATATTTCACCCATTACTTTTAATTATATTTAAACTTCTTGTATTTTATTTCTAACCGCTGCACACGGTCTTCGAGGCAACCGACAGTCTTCGAGGGAGCGCACACGGTCTTTGAGGTAACCCGCGGCTTTTGAGGGAACGCACACGGTCTTCGAGGTAACCCACGGTCTTCGAGGGAGCGCACACGATCTTCGAGGTAACCCGCGACTTTTGAGGGAACGCACACGGTCTTTGATGTAACCCGCGGTCTTCGATGTTGGGCACGAAGTTCGAGGTATCGCAAACTTTGACCGTCAACCGACTGATGCCTATAAAATTCGACGGCTTCTCTCCTCAACCCATCATCTCTCAGAATAAAATGTCTAGCTCATCTAGTTCTAGTGATGATGAAATGATGAAGAAGTTCTTTCTTATGGGAGCTGTTGTCGTTGAGGAAGAACAAGAGAAATGTTCAACTTCAGTTCAACACAAACGACGTATCGTGCTCTATCGAAACCGACTGGAAGGCCACAATCGGTTATTCCAAGATTATTTTGCTGACGCACCAACCTATTCTCTTTATTATTTTCGTCAAAGGTTCAGAATGAGGCGTTCGTTATTCCTTCGAATCCACGACGCAGTCGTCGAACATGACAAGTACTTCGTCCAAAAGAGGAATGGTGCTGGACAGTTAGGACTATCTAGTCTTCAAAAGATTACTGCAGCTAGGCGGATGCTCGCATATGGAGCATCCGCTGACTCCGTTGACGACTACGTTCGGATCGGTAAAAGTACGTCGCTTGAGAGCGTGAAGAGGTTCGTTCGATCGATTATCAACATCTTTGGAGAGGAATACCTTCGTGCACCGACTAATGAAGACGTTGCACGCATGCTCGAGGAAGGCTCACAACGAGGTTTTCCTGGTATGTTTGGGAGCATCGACTGCATGCACTGGACATGGAAGAACTGTCCAACTGCCTGGCAAGGTATGTATACTGGACATTTTCATGAACCTACAATTATTTTGGAGGCCGTAGCTAGCAAAGATCTTTAGATATGACATGTCTTCTTTGGACTGTCGGGGTCTCACAATGACCTTAATGTTCTACATCGTTCACAGGTTTTCGCACAACTTGCGGAGGGAAGAGCTTCACCGTGCAACTATACTGTCAATGGCCACGAGTATAATATGGGATACTATCTCGCCGACGGGATTTACCCAGAGTGGTCCACATTAGTGAAGACTATTCCAGCACCTCGAGGAAACAAGCATAAGTACTTTGCTCAACAACAAGAGAGCGCAAGAAAAGATGTTGAGCGAGCTTTTGGCGTGTTGCAAGCTCGATTTGCGATTGTTCGTGGACCAGGACGTTTCTGGCAACCTTGTGTGCTGAAAGATATCATGACAGCTTGTATCATAATGCATAACATGATCGTTGAAGATGAACGTGATTGTCAATTGGACAACAACTTCGACTTTACTGATTCGGTACCAGTCGTTGAACCTTCTCATGTGCAGACGGTGCCTCTAACTGAGTTCATCCAAAATCATCATCGGATCAGGAACACGCAAACAAACAAATCACTAAAGAATGATTTGATCGAGCATCTGTAAGTATTGACGTTGAACTGAATTGAGTGTTGAGAGATCGATCTTCATGATATCGTCATCTTGTTTCTTCTGTTTTAGCTCCATTTTTTCTTTGTTGGTTTGCTTCATCCACGCGAAAGCCTCTCCCATAATGGACTTAGCGGACTCAGATTTGTCCACATTTTGTTTCCTCTTGAGTTTTGCCGCTTTCCTCCCTTCAGGCCTTGCTATAACATCATCCGAGTCAATGTTCAACTCGATGGGGGTCGCTGGCATGGAATTGTTTGGTGAGGAATCAGAGTTCGTGGTTCTTCTCGGCTGTGATCGAATCTTATTGTAAGTTTCCATTTGTTGGTTCCATTTTTGGTGATGACGCAACTCAACCCAGCAATGGTCCAACACGAATGGCTTACCATAAAGGGATTGGTATAATTCTTTTACTTCTGCAGTCTACACAAGAGTTAAATTTAGAATAATCAAACATATAAGTTAAATATTTATATAAAAATATATAAGTTAAATATTTATCTGGTCAATAATTACCGTACCAGATCTTTGTCTTCCTTCAATCTGAGCAACGCACCCGCAGAACTTGTTGACCGACAGTTGAATCGTTGACCAACGGTGCATCATTTGGTTTGGTGTGCGACTCGTTGGATCGGTGGAGTATTGGATAAAGTAGTCGTTAGCTCTGTGCCAGAACTTATCTTTGTGTTGTCCTGTGCCTTGGATGGAGTCTTGGCTCGTGTTTAGCCAAGCAGACACAAGAAGCTTATCCTCGTTGACAGTCCAATTTTCGGACCGCGTGTAAGCCTTCTTCTTCTTTGTGGTCGGTGTTTCTTGGGATGACACTTGTTGTGTTGCGGATTGCGATAACTCGATGAGATGACCTTCTTCTACGACTTCTGTATAGAACAGCGAGTATAAGGTCGATCCTTCACCGGTAAGGAGATGCGAATAGTAGTTGTTTTGGGAGGGATCCATGAGATTTATAATTTGATAGGAAAATATAGAGTTTTTTTTTATGAGAGAGTTGTGTGGAATGAGTTGTGTAGTGAAGTCCAACGAATTTATAGAAATTTTTTTACAACGGTAAAAATTTCAACGGCATGATTTTATTACAACGGCTGAATTTTTATACAACGGTAACTTTTCATATCAGCAACACAACTCAACCAATTAAAAAAATCAAATCCTCACCGTAACATCAAACCACAACTCAGCCAATATCAAAAAATCCCAACCACAACTTAACCCCAAATCAGTTCATCTTCTCCCCAAATCCAAAACAGTTCATCTTCTCCTCAAATCCCAACCCCAAATCCCACCCCTTCGACAACCTCAAACAAGGCACCCAACCTAGTCGGAGGCCTCATCTTCGGCGCCTCATCTCCGGCGCCTCATCTTCCACATCTCCGGCACCCAACCCTCTTCCACATCTCCGGCGCCTCATCTTCTACCCAGTCGGAGGCCTCTTCTCCCCAAATCATCTTTGTTTCCCCTCCTCTTCCACATCTCCGGCGCCTCTTCATCTCCCGTTGGTATTTTGCTTCTTTTTTGGGCAGATCTGCGAAGATGTAATTGTTGGGGGGGGGGGTGTTAAATTCCGGCCAGTTGGGAGCTCCCAAGCGCCCCACAAATTTGTGGAGCGCTTGGGAGCTCCGAAGCTCTCCACCTCCACGTCAGCGCTTGGGAGGAGGTTGGGAGCGCTTCGGAGCTTGTTGGAGGGGGTTAAATCGGAGAGCACATCCACGTCGGAGCTGAGAGCGGAGTTGGGAGCTTGCTGCCCATGCTCTAATGTCGTTGGGGGCTGTGGATTTGTTTAATATGTACTTTTAGAAGCTTATTTTTTTTGCTAATCCTGGGAGATAGGAACCAATGACTCTCGGAAGATAAATTAAAACTTTTGTTAAGTTTGCGGTTTGTTATTGTACTGTGTTTGTGCTTGCTTCGTAAAGATCCAAGTGCTCGGGGCTAGTTGTTTATAATGGCTTTCTGTGCGGCATTAGTGCACGAAGCAGCGTTTGAAAAAGATATTTTGAAACTCAGCTCCGAATCTCGCTTCAAAACTTTTTGAAGGATAAGCTCTTCGAAACTCAAAAGAGAAGCTATTTATCCCTTGAGTGGCTTAAAGAATAATTGAAGCGTACGTCTTGCGCTCCATAGAGTACTTGTCTTTTAAAGTTCACGCTTTAGATAAGATGGGAAGATATAAAAGAATTTTTGATCAATTTAAGATACTCTTATGTATATCCTATGTATGCAGCCTAGTTTTATTAATTGCGACTATACCTCTAATTTACTAATCAGGACATTAATGTATCATTTGTAAATTATTATACCACTACATATTATAAGGCAGTGTTGTCAATGCGCGAGGCGCAATGCGGGGCGCAAAGCAATATTACGTACACCGGTACACATGCGCAAGGCGCAACATGATGCGCTCGCCCGAGTGATGTGAGGCGCACGCCACACATAATTTTTCAATATAATCAAGCGCGAAAGAACATGTTTTAAGAATTTACATGAAAAATATCATTATAAATAATAACTTACTACAAAATCACAATATAATACTTAATTCTAATGCTAAAACCCAACATAGTAGCAAAATTCATCAAATTTCAAATCAAATGATAAATCAAGACTAATATCCAAGCAAATGATTAGTAATGGTCCTCAATTGAAGGCTATTAAAAAGGCCTAATGGATTTATTTTGCTTTTTGGGATATGGAATATCAAGTATAAAGACTCGATTGAAATGTTAACAAACAAAACTATATGGGGATATGTACTACATGCACAAAAAAGTAAGGATGTATGTGAGGCGCGAAAGGCGTTGCTGCATTAGATGTGGGACGCTTCGCCACCGCCCGCATCGTAAGGCGCATGAGGCGCGCGCCTTTGAAAACACTATTATAAGGTTTATAATTTTTATAAATTTAAAATTTTAAATATATTCTTAGCTAATGAGACTTAAGCCTTACTCTTTGAAGCTTGCATCTTGCTTCATAAAAGGGTCTATTGTTTTGGCTTGCCCTAGGATACTCTAGATCAGTAGTTATCCATCCTTTAAGATAACTACTACAACAAAATTTATTTGTTCTAACACCTTTCGGCTCGCCTCAATTTGTTCTTAAAAGAAAACTGTAAGTTATTTACTAACTAGGATTTATTCGCTCACTCCTAAAACCAAGGATGGGCTGAAAGGTTCTAGAACAAATAAATTTCAATTTTTTTAAAGATATGGTTTCTTTTGGACCAGACTTTTATTTATAGAGTTAACTACTACAAAAGTTGGACTTTGACGTTATACTCGGATTCTTGTAATGACGGTCCTCTTCATCATCTGACTTGCATTTATCTTGCAATTTCTCAATTTCTCAATCATGCATAGATTAGCTCTTTTGCTAAATAGGGGTGGCAATGAGACTTGTTACCTTATCTCAGTCTGGCTTAGGTTTCAAATATGGATTAGAATTATCTCCAGTAACTAATCTGGTGGAGTGTGGACTGTGGAGCCTTGAAATGAATTCGACTCCTTATTGGATCTAAATATAGATCCTTAATATTTAAACTCTTATACTCCATTTGTTGCTTACTGAAATTCGCTTTCCAAAAAAATGTATTGTTGGCCTTTAGTCATACGTTGAGGAGGCATGAATTTCAAGACAACACCTGAAATTATAGCATCAGTTAGTTCTTTAGGAATATAATGAATTTACCCTATTAGTGCTTTGTTTCTTGAAATCTTGAGGGAACTAACTTCAGCCAAGCGGTGTTCTATCCAAGGTAATTTTTGGAAATAGCAGAGCTGCATCATGAATTTCTATCATACGCATGGCCTTCTTAATACGCTTAATTCCTCCAAATTTTTTTTGGAAAAATCTTGATTTGCCTCCGTGCTGATCTACTTCAGAAATATGCTATTTAGTAAAATGCTAATTGGGGGTGAATGAGTTCTCTTTATGTTGATCTATTTGGATATTGCTTCGAGTCTATTTAAAGACTGATACATAAATCCAGAGGCATGCCATGTTTGACATAAGGAAACTTAATTTTACGAGAGTTAAATGTTGAAATAGTGATGGATGGGTGTTGCTGATGGGATGAGGAGATAGGAAGATGAGGGTAAAGGAACACATCGCCGACTTGTGGATGGAGGTGTTTGGCTGAGGAGAGAGGAAGACGAGGGTAGAGGAAGATAGACACATTGAGAACTTGTGCGAGTTGTGAGAGCACTTGAATAATACTATTTTCGCCTCACAACTATAATCAATTCTTATATTTAGAATGAGAAAAAGAGGACTCGTCAGAGTAATTAAATCTATAAACATCCCCATGTAACCATTTTTATTATCATAGTAAAAACAAGTATGAAACAAAACCTTTCTTGACTGAAAATCCTTGCTTTTGTCTCTACCATTCAGACCATGTCCCAGCATTGTTCTTCAGGAGAATCTTCCTAAAGCTCATTCCTGGACTTGTTTTCATTCACAGTTCTCTTGTGGAAGCACCGTATTCAGATAAAAATCTTATTGAATTTTTCTAGACAAACAGATGTAAGATGTTACATAAAAGTCCTGACTGACCTTCTATTCAGCAATTGATTCATCATTCATGCCTTTGAAATAAAAAACTTTCACATCAATGATCATAACCCTTTTATACAGAGAAAATGTGTGCAGATATTAGTTAAAATGTTGGTTCACATGTGTTTTATTGGAACTACTCCATTCTCAGAAACTACCCGAACTTGTTTGGTATAAAATGATAACAATTTTCCTTTGTAAGAAATTTATGCTAGGATATAGGCCTGGAAGAACTATTAGAACTTACAACAACAGCAGTTAAGCACTTATCCCACATATTTTGTGTTCGCTACATTAATAATTTTCATGCGTTCTGTTCTGTTTGGGGCTATCTCCTTTGTTAAGTTAACCACAATCATGTCCTTCCTACTTGCTTCCAAACCAAATTTTCTTAGGCCTACCCGTAATAGTCCTTGCTCCATTATTACAATTTAATCCTGCCCTCCTAATTGGTGCATTATGTGGCCTCGATTGCATGTGGAAAACCTTCTCAATTGATCTTGCTTATTTTATTCTCAATAGAAGCAAATTCTAACCTCCAACAAATATACTCATTTATCATCTTATCTCTTAATACATGTCCATAAGTCCATCATAACTTTCTCATTTATGTTATGTTCACTTTTGCACATGTCATTTTGTAATTGCGTTGTATAGGTGTCCTATAGAAATATTCCTTTGCATTCTAGGCCACAGTCCTACAAGCTTGTTTTTGCCCCAAGAGTGTTAGTGCTTGTTTAATATTAAGTATTAAGCCCACCCCACCCCCACCCAGCGAACCCCCCTCTCCAAAAAAAAGGAAAATGAAAAAAAACCCACCCCCCAACACACACACACACACAAATAAACAAACAAACCCCACACAAAAAAGACTACAATGGCTTTTATATAAGTTGTTGGTCAATGTAGGTTATGCAGATAATTTACCTTCCTCTTGAAAGGGCTAGATCCTTTTTCTAGGAATCCAATACAAAACTTTTTCATGAATGTGTCCTGTACAACCTTTTCCAGACCAAGAAGTATGTAAAATTTGTTTAATGTGAAGATGGGGGGGGCGGGTGGAGTACTTATTTTTCCACTGTGTACAATTTCTGTTTTGCTTACTAAAATTATAAGGTTATCATATACTATTATCATCTAATTTTGTAGGCACATATATCACTGGATTTTTTATTATAATTAATTATTCATGAGGAAACAATTGGTAAACCTACAGTTTCTTTAACAAAGTTGGACTGATCTGTCGTTGTAGGATTATTGATGGTTGACTAGTTGTTGATATACATAATTCTCAACAAAATTTCAATGTGAAAGCTTTCATATTCAAGATAAAATTATAAAATCTGATTTTATGAAGTTCTTGTTATTGGTTCCATATTAACTTATAAGCTTAACGCGAATATGACTTGTTAAGCTATGAGCCCTCTGTTTGTCGTATGCAGTTTCATAGACAAAATTACATTGGCATGGCCTAAACATATATATTTGAAATCAATTAAGTAGTGTGAAATAATTGAAGTAGGATATAGACACCATATACACATTTCACTCTTATACAGATTTTTCAGTATTGTTATAAAGGAGTGCTATTCACGATATATCATACAAATTTGCATTTCCACTCTTTTTACAGTCTTATCTAAACTGTATCTTCAATAACGACATAATACAAGTATGACAATAAGTAGTTCTTGGCAGCAAGGAAAAATAAAGAAATAAAAAAGTGGGTGTTTGGAGTTTTCTTTCCTTTTTTTTGGGTGTGTGTGTGGTGATTGACACAAAGATGTTATTCCACAGGTTTTCTTGGAGAGTTTGTTGCTAATGCAGTCAGTATTTTCATATTTTTATAATGATGCCTGATATTGGTGGGAGGAAAATGAATACTGTGCACACTCAAACTCTCATTTGACTGCTCAATTTGCTTTTTAACATTTCAGATACTGGATACCAATCACCAGCTATATTTCCATCTACAACAGCAGAGATTAATAGAACTGATCCGTCATGGAAAAATAGAAGAAGCTCTGGAGTTTGCTCAGGGGGAGCTTGCACCAAGGGGCAAAGAAAATGTAATTTGCTTCTGTTACATCAATCTAATTCGTGTCATTGTGTGTTGTGTGGTTCTCATTTCGTTCAAAACCAGGATTTCATTTTTTGTGTTTTTTTTCTTTGCCCCTTTTACTTCTGGAAACTTTCCTTGGTAAACTGGACTGGGGGTTATCTTGTAACTTAAATTGCAATGAAATTCCTACATATGGATTTAAACATAATCTGATTTTAACACCAAAGTTCGCTATGCAGCGAAGTTTTCTAGAGGAGTTAGAGAGAACAGTTGCTCTACTGGCGTTTGAAGATGTTGAAAACTGCCCATATGGAGAACTTCTGGATGTGTCTCAACGCTTGAAAACTGCAAGCGAAGTGAATGCCGCAATATTGACAAGCCAAAGTCATGAAAAAGGTCGGCAATATTTTCAACCGTTTCCCTTTATTTTGGATATTAGTGTGTGCTTGTGCCCCCCGCCGCACGCACATGCG